CGTCATTAGCAGGGCTTAAGTCCCAGGGTCCGGCCACGGCCCGTTTTGCCCCGAAGTTTCCCCGGTAAAACACAGTAGAAGGACAAGGGGCTGTTAGCTTTAGACGGGCGTGAGGTTTTCTTGTGGAGGAGCAAGAACTAACCGGCAAAGTCCTGTGAAAGAACGACAAGACTTGAGCAAGACCGTCGCCAACTCGGGGCCCGTAGTTGGGGGGTAGAGCGGCGGGGCCCGGGGCCTTTCCCGACCGCGAGTTCGCTCGCCCGGCCCCGCCTAGTCTTTCCGAACGGTCCGCGGCAGAGAATTAGAAAATTCGCTCTAAAAGGAAGGTTTCTGGAAGGACGTGACCTTTTCACATCAATCTTGAGGAAGGAAGAAGAAACCGGCGAAATCCAACGCGAGAAACTTCGAGACTTGAACAAGGCCAACTGTTTTTCTACCTGCTGATACAAACGTGAGTTTAAACATTTTCCCTCAGTCAGTAGCAGGGTTTGAAATACTTTTTTAGAAGCTCCTAGGTTGCCCATCGATATTTCAGGTTGCCGTCAACACCAAAAGTTTATTTGAGAAGGCAGCTGTAAGCCAGCCTCCTGTTAGCCTGGTATCCAGTCTGATCGTGGTCGGGGCCGAAAGAGCTCTGTCCCGCTCGCCTCACATAGGTTTCCCGGTGTGTATTTCACAAGAGATTGATTAGCCCTCCACCAAATCCCCAAGCATACTGTCTCTTATAAGCGTAACGCTCCTACCGGGCGGCCTGTTGCACTGGGCGGGCGGAGCTATTAGAGCCCCCGAAGACACAACCTGCCTGAATACCCCAATACCCCCAATCACGTAAGACTGGATACCAGGCTAGCCTCCTGTATTAAAAAAGTATCGGTCACATGCTGGCGGAAATAGGATACGTCAGTGTATTTCAGAAACTGTAAGCCGGGCTGAGGTAAACTTTAAAACATCGCATCGCTTTATATATGCAAAGAAAAAAGGTGATAACTAAGTAAAACAGTGCACCAGGCAACCAAGCTGCAAGCATCTCCAGTAAGTGTCGCACAGAAAACATGCCTTGTGTGGCGAGAGTGGGTATTTTGCACCCTGAGTAGTATCATTTTTAGACTCCTTTTCTAGACTCAAACACCCAAACAGACGTTAGTTATGGTGTATCTGTGGGCGCGTCTTGTTTTGCTGCATTCACGTGGGGTCGTGTGGCGTAGCGACAGAGTGCTCGACTCGGAATAAGACGTCCCGGGTTGGAGTCCTGACATGCCACCGATCTTACAAGTACCCACTTCGTTCAGGTGAAAATGAGTATTGTATTGTCTGTGTTGGTGGCGGTATTATTATAAGTTCACAAAAACGTCTTGTGATTAGATATTGGAATAAATAAAAAAAAAGACAAGTGCCGAGACACCCAACCTACATGTAACTTGCAACACTTTGAACTCTTAAAGCGACGTTTGTATACGATTTCTAAACATCGCTGTTTTCAACATTTTCTTTCGCTATAAGCCAGCTATACATGTACCTGGGTTCATAATGACTTTTGGGAGAACAAGATCAATGTCTTTGCGCCGCAAAACCTGGCCAAGATACCCGAACGAAAACTGCTATTTGTTTACTTTTATTTTAGGAGCCTCCTAAAAATACAGCGGGCCTGCCGCAACTTATTCTCGCGCTGCGCTGAGTCGCCTGAAAAGCGAAATAGCGACGCTCATATGTTAACATTTATTGAAATTGACAATCTAGATGAGAAAATTTCAATTATCTATATTCACAGTTTGGGCCTTTTTTTTTGCACAAAAATGTTACATAATAACGCTCAGTCGTGTAACCTTTTGTTTAGGGACACCAAATTTTCTCAGTATCTGGCCAAGTTCGCATTGAAATGTGTGTTTTCCGGGGTGGTTATGACAAATGAAAGACAACACGGTGTATTGCATCACCCTCAGTTCCAGCCAAGCCCTCTCTGGCGGGATTTTGTTTTTGTCTTTGGTTCAACTTGATTTATTACATCCTGACACCTGGTACAAAGCAACTCCTGAAGTGTGATTATCTATAACTATTACGCCCCTCCGTTGTCCGCTTAGGAATTTTGATAGTTTTGTTTGTTGGCGTCTCTGGTAGAAGAACAACCCTCCCCTTTGATCAGCGTTTCTTCTCCAGCATTTTAAGCTAATGTTTTTTGTCTTTGTTTGTTTCGTTTAAGTTTTACAGTAATTAGCTGTATTTCCGTCATAAAAATTCCAGACATTCAGGGGCTCAAGCATTTTTTCTTTAATCTCTAACATCCAAATATCAACATTGTGACTCCGCACTTTTAGTCGTACAAAGCATTTTGTGGGTAAGCGTATGACACGGGAAGAAAGGTGTGACAGCGGCGAACGACCCACCATGGGAACACTAGACACGCACACGCGACACGCGACAAGGCCCAACCCAGCCAGCTGCTATTTGAACCCTCAACACCACCTGATCGAGCGAGTCGCAATCCTAGACAATCGCTTTTGAGGCTGACATTGATGCTGTTCAAATCATACTGGGGCGCACTAAGAGAAATAAGAAAAATGCTTCACTTTGTAATCTACAAAACGATTGAAAAGAACAACTGTTGTGGTTTGACCGGCGTGTCACGCCCACTTTTGCACTGCGCCCAGCGAAGGTCCACAGAACTGCAGCCGACTCACACTGACTGCCAGTTGTGATATCCATGCGCCTTTCTCCGTACGCCACCCGGGCAAACCTCAGGTTCCAGTTTACGCTTGGTAAAATACTGCACACCAGTATTATAACATTGGGCAGTTTCTGCCGCAGCACTTTTATGTAAGATTTCGACGAAGTTTTGAATATTTTTGGGACTAATTTTTCACACTGGAGCCAAAGAATACTGCGTTCTTTGGCCTGAAGGTTGCAGAAAAACCGGTTCTTTTGGGCGGATCTGTGTATCACACCCCATGACCTATAGATAAATAGAGCTACCTACCATCCAACATTCATGACCGAAGCATGTCCAGATCGGGAGATATGAAGACCAGAAGTTCCTCTGCAGTACCAACGGAAGCCAATAGGGGGCCAAAAATCTTATCATTTCTAGATTTAGTCACACCCTACGGACCCACTAAGTATGAAACCAATCCATCCCGCCGTTCTTGAGTTATCTTGTTGACAAAATTTAATTCCCTAGGGAATGCATTTAATCGTCTGTCTGAGTAGTATGTTTGCACTCTGTTTATAATCTTGATATATATAACGTTCGATTTGTTTTAGGAACTTTAACACAAATTGTAGAAGCACCATACAGTAGCCTCTACCAGGCCCCTCAGGATGCTAAGGTTACATGTGTGTAGAAGTAACCCAACATACAGTAGCCTCTACCAGGCCCCTCAGGATGCTAAGGTTACATGTGTGTAGAAGTAGCCCACCATACAGTAGCCTCTACCAGGCCCCTCAGGATGCTAAGGGTACATGTGTGTAGAAGTAACCCACCATACAGTAGCCTCTACCAGGCCCCTCAGGATGCTAAGGTTTTTTATTTTTTATTCACATGGATTTTTGAGCATTGGATAGGAAGCACTTGTTGTGCTTATGTAAATCCGCTGCTCATAAAACATAATACAAATGTAAACATAAAGATGACATAAAGTATAGCATTGACATAAAATGAAAGTGGCTGGCGCACCAATACCTAGCATAACATTATTGAGATTGGTCAAATCTTCCAGAGTGGTGGATATAGTTAAACACAATATCAAAGATACGGCAGTTTGTAGGGTAAGGGAGGCTGGGGCTACCTGTAAGAAGTAAAGTACATAATGTGGCGTCATTTACGTTGAGTGGGTCGGAAGGAAGTATGTTTTCAAGATGAAGGCAAGATATGGATAACAACATTTTGTTCCTTTCAGTATTATAACATTTGCAGTGTAATAAATAGTGTTCTGGTGTCTCATTTGGATGCCCACATTTGCACTCGGGACTACTGATACAGTGATGCTGGAATAGGTGGTAGTTCAGCTGGCTGAAACCAAGCCTGAGTCTGGTAAGGTGAGTCACATGGTGTCCGTGGCCGTGAGAGTAGTGGGGATGTCTGGGCATGCTATCAAAGCAAGACTCTAATTCATTTTTGAATGCACGAATGGATGGGGATTCTTTGGCGGTCTGGGGTAACTTGTTCCAAGAGAAAACAGCAGAAGGCAAGAAAGATTTTTTGTACTTTTCAGTTTTGAGGGTAAAAGGGAGATAATTCTGGTCAGTACGCAGGCCATAAGGGGTGGAATCACGGATAAGTGGGGGAACCAAGTCTTGTAGATATTTGGGAACTAAGCCATTGGCCATTTTATAAAAGTGAACAAGTTTGAACTTTTCGCGTCTGTTGGCAAGTGTTTCCCAACCGACGTCACATAGAATGCGGTGGTGATTCGTCCCTCTCATTGCGCCTGTGCAAGCCCGGGCAGCGGACACCTGGACTGACTCAAGGAGGTCTGAATCCTTCATAAGAACACCACACCAGGCAACATTGGCGTACTCAAGTAAAGGACGTATCATGGCTTTGTACAAGATTTCAAGCGTTTTCCGTGGCACAAAATTTGATATTCTTGTCAACAAGTTAACTCGCTTCATTGCTTTCGTCACCAGAGTTGACACGTGGAGTGACCATGATAAATTTGGAGTGAGATGTAAGCCAAGGTTCTGGTGAGAGGGGGTTTCAGTCAGCTGAACACCTCTAAAGTATAGTGGTGGGTGAAGAACCTTTCTTCTTTTAGAGGAAAAAGTCATCAGTTCTGTTTTGCCGGGATTGAATGTTACAAGCCACTGGTCTGACCAGTCTGACACTACACTGAGATCATGATTCAGTCTGTTCGCTGAGATAACGGGATCCATGATTATCTGGCTGGCGATTATCTCTAACAGTGCGGTGTCATCAGCAAAAAGACGGGAATCTGTTCGTAGGTTGTCAACAAGGTCATTTATAAAAACAAGAAAGAGCAATGGGCCGAGAAGTGACCCTTGTGGAACACCTGCATCAATTGATAGCCATTCAGAGCACATCCCGTTTATAACAACTCGCTGTTTACGATCGCTCAGGTAGGATTCAATCCATAATAAGAGAGACCCAGTAACTCCTAGTTGTCGCAACTTAAAGATTAATCCCCAATGCCAAACCTTATCAAAAGCTTTAGATATGTCAAGAAAAACTGCACGGGTTTCGAGGCCTTGGTCAAGTGCTTGATGAATTTTGTGGACTAATAGGTCAATGAATTAACGGTGGAATCTCCCAAGGCGAACCCGGCATTACGGTCAGTGGGAAGCTTGTTCCTGTGGAAGTATGAGGACAGTTGATTATGGACTATTCTTTCAAAGACCTTTGACACACAACATAGGAGGGATATGGGTCTGTAGTTTTCCTTGATCTGCTTGTCTCCTTTCTTGTGCACGGGCACAACATTCGAACATTTCCAAATTTTTGGAAAATGTCCGTACTGTAGTGAAACGTTAAACAATGATGATAAAGGGGCGGCTAGTGACTGGGCAACATTTTTCAAGAGTCTATTTCCTAGGCCGTCGGGTCCTGTGGCCTTGTTAACATTAAGATCGCACAAAACTTTGTAAACATCAAGGGGAGAGCAGACGATTGAGTCAATAACAGACTCTGTTCTAAGAGTAAACAAGGGAAGAGAGGCGCCCAATGTGTTGAGTTGCGTTTGAGATGCAAAGTAGCGAATGAAGACATTAGCCTTGGTCTTGTCGTCCGTAACAGTACATCCGTTTTCGAGTAAAGGTGGTAACGTGCGATCAATCTTACCCATAAAAATTTCTTTGGAAACAGACCACCAGTGTTTAGGATTAGAGGATGTATTTACTAAACCAAGACAGAGGCTAAGCCGGTGGTTGTACTTCGCTTTCCTAATTAGTTTTGTACACATATTACGGATAGTTTTATAGGAGTTGAAGTGATCAGGGTTTTTGGTACTTATGAATTTACGGTACAATCGCCTCTTTTTCCTTAACATACGTCTTATTTCACACGTCATCCATGGTTGATCTCGAGGGCGTACGGTAACTTCTTTGCTGGGGACAAACAGACTGATTGTTCTTGAAAGGGTTTCCATGAATGTTTCGGTTGCAATATCTATGTTAGGAATACTCTCTGAAATGATAGAGCCCCAGTCAATGTCAGAAAGTTTGGAATTCAGTCCATCGTAATCTGCTTTGCCAAAGTCAAATACAGTACGTTTGTAAGCTGCAATACGAGGGACTTTAAGGACCATTTTTCCATAGGTAAGTGAGTGGTCACAATTTGACAAAGGCGGGTTCGTCCCACAATCCGAGAACAAACTGGGTGAGTCTGTAATTAAGACATCAAGCAAGGATGACGTGGTGTCAGTTATGCGGGTGGGCTCTGAAATCAGCTGTGCGAAGTTGTTGTCAGATATAAATCTATTGATCATGCTAGCGGCGTTGTCTGAATTTGCATTCATATCGCCAAGCAGAATAATAGCCGTTTTCTCAGGTGGGCCACTGGCCATAATTAGGTCAACTGATTGTTGCAGGTGTTCCATGAGTAAGGTACGTTCTTCCGCATTCTGGCCTGGTGGTCTATAACAACAACAAACAAAAACTTTCAAACTACCGACATCCACCTCACACCAGATTACTTCAGACTCGTCCCTTTCCAGATCGATTCTCCGTTTACATGGTACAGAATTAGAAACATACAGTGCGACCTCTCCACCATGGCAATTCCTGTCTCGTCGCATTGGAATTTGGTACGAGGACAGAGATATGTCTGAATCCGGGATGGTAGAGTCGCACCATGTCTCGGAGAGAGCAATAACATCGTACTCCTCCTCAATAGCAATAGTCTCAAGTTCATGAACTTTGATATAATCATTGGCGGGAAGACTTCTCACGTTTGCATGACAGAGAGACAAGAATTTCCTGTTATTTATGGACTTTGGTTTTACTAGGGTAAGGCTGAACATGTCTCTCTGTCAGGCATGCGTGGGTAGTTTTAACTAAGTATTGTTTGGTGCGCCAGTTGAAGTATACAAAATCAAAAACAATAACAATCATAATGTCACAATAAAGAAAATATAAAGACAAAAGGTATAACAAAACATAAAAGCAACAAATAATGATCGCAACACCGGGGGAACATAGTAGGCTCTCAACACACCGCGGAAGCAGTAATGTAATCAGACAATAGAGCCAATAGAATACGATCGGTGTGACTTTAATCATGTTTACAAGTTCAAAGAGGCAAGTCAATGGGCAAGAATGGGAAATTAGATGCATGTATACGAAGTCATTTCATTACAGTCGAGCAACATCAGTCTGACGTGTTCTCAAATAGACGAACGTCATGTTCGGAGTTAAACCGGCGTGTTTCAGGGGTGCCGCCGTCACGGGTGACCTTGGCAAAGATCTTACCATCCCTGGTCCACGCGTTACTCACTTGCGGTAGTCTCCTGACAGCATTGAGTAGCTCCTGGTTGCGTTTTGTCAGGTTTTCCCTGACGACAAAAGGCTTGTTCATGGCATTTCTTTTCCCCTTGAGCTGTTTCTTCGCCATGTAGACTTGACTGCGTTTGGCGTAGTTTGCAAACTTCACGATGATAGGCTGCGTTCCATATACAGCCATTAGTCGTAACGTGAGTTTCTGTATGACCCGTCATAGCGTGTGGGTCAGCACATGATAACGGTCGAATAAAACAAACGAAAAAGAATCTAAAATTCTAAATAAACTTTAAAATTTTCTTACAACCACTTTTTTTAGAAACAATTTTAGAAATTAGAGCCTGGAAATTAATGACGCATTCTAAAACTAAAATAAGAGAAATTAAAAATACCTGTAAGAGTTCCTAAGTTCGACCGTCACAGCGTGCAGCGTGGCACAGGAGGGCGGGTCAGAACTTCAACTGGCGTGCGATGTCGACATTCTCTACAAGTACTTACCTTTTTTTTATCGAATTGCCCTGTGGCTAAATCGACAATTTTCACCTCCTCAAGTCTCACAACTGTAGCAGCAACATTTTATTAGTTCACCGTCAGTCCACAAAACTTCCGTCACAGTGTGCTGTTTAGCACGTCTTGACGTGCTGACTGGCACGTGGCGACGGCATGCGGAAAGTTCCCCCGCTTGCCTTTTATTGTGAAATACATTATTTAGAAATGAACCATTCAGCTTAGAAATATTTCTCTTCAAGCTTGTGTCCGAAAATCTTCCATGTAACGGACTCACACAAAAAAGAGAGACCGAGCGCCGCATCCAGCCAACTTCACGCCGTACCGCCGTAATGTATGTGTCGCAATAAGTGGCTACTTTCTGTCTAAGCGGCCGGCACAACATGGCGGATTTTTCGTGCCGTGCCGCTGAACTCCGCGGCCAAATTATAGGTCTTTATGCAGGTTAACTGGCAGCTTCAACGAAGAAAACCACAAGTAATACATCTGAAGATTATCACAAGCGGAAAAGTTGATAGTTTTGGTGTTGTTTCTTTATTTTCAGAACGGGTTAGTCGAACGATCTTCGCCGGATCGGCGCTCCACGTCCTGACAGGCGCTCAGTACGGGCTTGGCAAAGTCGTAAATTTCTCAAATTCTGCCCTTCATAGGAATCAAAAGATCGTAAAATATGATTAACTATATTCTACCCGAGTATAGTCAACCGTTTTAGCTTTATATCAATGTGGAGACCGTTAAAAACAGCCGTTCTGGGTGCCCCATATACATGCACCCTGCCGTCATTGCGTGTTTCCTGTGCACTTTTGACGCCGTCGAAACGTGCTGTGTGGCACGCTTACATACCTGGTTCCATCCCTTGGTCTACCAATTCGATGGGCAATGTCGATGTCGGAGGGCTGCAAGTCAACATCTAGGTGCTCCTTGCTGAAGTTGATAAAAGTATCAGTACACTTCTCTGGCTTCCCCTTTTCAGCTGAAGGGGGAGGGGGGATACCAAACGCCACCAGACAGTGCTTACGACTGTATTGTTCGTTTCTGTCAGCGTGGTCTTCGACTTCAGCCAGTCGAGCATTCAGCTTCTCGATCGTCTTGTCCTTCTCGTCAACTTTACGTTTCAAATCAGCCAGCTCGGAGTTCAGAGACAGTTTCAGTTCGTCGAGTTCGGCTTTCATCTCAGCTTTGATGGCGTCGATTATGTCTCGCTTCACAGAGACTAAGAATTCCTCTTTCATTTTGTCAAAACTTGATCGGAGTTGAGCGTCCACGAGTTCCGAGACTCGCTTGAGCTCGCGGGTTGTCGTACTGATGCTAAGGTTACATGTGTGTAGAAGTAACTCACCATACAGTAGCCTCTACCAGGCTCCTCATGATACTACAGTGGCCGCCTGAATTCAGAGACGACTTATTATAATTTTTGATTGACGTCAGGTCTGCACAGCTACAGACAACTAGGCCTGAGGCAGATACAGACTCACAGGTACCCATTGTTTAAGGTGGACTAACCAGTTAGCGCCGTCAGTGCGGGGCTTATATCATTAGCAGGGCTAAGTCCCAGGGTCCGGCCACGGCCGGGCTCGGCCCGTTTTGCCCTGCATTTTCCCTGGTAAAACACAGTAGAAGGACAAGGGGCGGTTAGCTTTAGACGGCGTGAGGTCTTCTTGTGGAGGAGCAAGATTTAACCGGCAAAGTCCTGTGAAAGAGCGTCAAGACTTGAGTAAAGCCGCCGCCAACTCGGGGTCCGTAGTTGGGGGGTAGAGCGGCGGGGCCCGGGGCCCGGGGCCTTTCCCGGTCGCGAGTTCGCTCGCCCGGCCCCGCCTAGTCTTTCCGAACGGTCCGCGGCAGAGAAAATTCGCTCTAAAAGGAAGGTCTCTGGAAGGACGTGACATATCAGTCTTGGGGAAGGAAGAGGGCAAGTAAAGAAGAAAGAAGCAAGATCCAACGCGAGGAACATCGAGACTTGAACAAGGCCAACTGTTTTCTACCTGCTGACATAAACGTGAGTTCAAACATTTTCCCTCAGTCAGTAGCAGGGTTTGAAATGCTTTTTTCAGAAGCTCC